CAGGGCTGGCTCAGTTAAAGAAGCTAATGTAAACACAGTATTACCATAGTTCGGTCCATAGTGTCGACCTGGAGGGTGGAGCTGAGAATCATCACACGATTATCACCACACCCACTTATCTCAGCAATATAAATCCCAATGCCGCCCATTGCAATGCATCTGCCAAGTATGAGTCTCTGCTACATGTCCACAGTATATTATATGTACCATTATCTAGCATAGTGATTAGGGATCTTACTCAACTGTTTTGTAAAGTTAAATACAAACACAAAACTACACACACACAACACATAAAGCAAAAAGTCCATATGAAAGATAAAAAATTATAATGTCATTGCTCCAGTAATCATTATCTTGTTCATCTATCTACTAATGTATGCATGGGATAAGGTAAATTATTGTGATGACTGATAACTTACATGAAGCAGCTATCCTGTCAGCTAATGTAGAAAGAACAACATGATCCTGTTCCCTCAGTATAGACAAGAATGTACTAATTTGATTTGGACAAAATTCAATTGTATTTGTAATTTTCTGAACAAAAAGTCCCACTCTTTCTGATAAAGACTGGTTATTCATCCCATCAAATAACTCATCATGCTGAGAAGAATTAATAATTTTTACATCCATACAACCATTAGCTATGTCACGAAACATTGATAATTCTGAAGAAGAAAGGAAACGTTTCAGATCATTAAGGTGCTTCTTGAGGTCATTATGTGAACCAGGATTAGGAACATCTTTAGTACCAACAGAATGAGGTGCATCTATAAATTACACAATTGAATAGAACACAATATGTACATTACTGTTATTATACCTAATATATCCTTCAGTGATCTGTTAATTATAATTTCCATTTGTTCCTGTACACCTTTCAATGGTACAGAATAACTCAAGTTAGGTACAGTATGGGGACTATTCTCAGCATATATTGATACCAGGCAAGATGGAGGAATTGTAGTACTAATGTCACCAAAACCAAGTATGTCACGTTCCCTAATCTATCAATTACACAATAATAATAATGAACATAACATTACTAACATACCAGACAAGGATTCTTATGAGGACTAACAGTCCAGCCAGTTGTTGGTCTCAACTGTGGACCATCAAACATTAACTGAATACAAGCATATTTCAGAGACGGATTAAGCTGGAATGTAAAATCCTCATCCATTTCATGAATGACATATGTCTGCTTTATATACTGGATCCAAATAACAAATAATGAATTTAAATACTTGAACAATTTACCTGACGTAAGGCATTCAAATCTCTAGCAGCAGTAAATCTCAGTAAATCTGGTCGTTCATAAAACACTTGTCCAGCATACACTGTAGCTTCAGGTATACCAGTGGAATGAGTAGATACAACTATAATGATGAATTATTGACAGGTACATGCATAATAATAAAAAAAGGTATACTTACTAAGTGATGATGAAGTGTTTGGTTGATCACATGATTCTAAAGCAATTGTTCCATTCTCACCATCTTTCTCTTCTTCATTCCCTCCAGCTACTCCTCCACCTGTTCCTCCTTCTTGTCCTCCTGCTCCTTGTCCCTCTCCTCCTCTTGTCTCTCCCTTTCCTTTCCCTCCCTCATCTCCCGACTCTCCATCTTCCTCTCCATTCCTCTCCTCATTCCTACCTCCTCCATTTTC